AAACTTCCGTAGTTTACTGGCTTACAAGCTGGCTTCCTAAGTATTGCTATGTCTAAGTTTCTTTCCCGACATGGTCATCAATTTGATGTTTTGGTTTTAATTACAAATAAAAAGATGAAAAAAACAACATTAATTTACCCAGTTTTTAATAAAATTTTAATCGCTTACTCCACGTGGACAAGGACTAGACCACCAGCTTTATTGATATTTTACAGATATTTTTTTACAGAAACCAAAAACAATTAAAAAATTGTGGCATCTTAATAATTAGGGACTCTAGCTAGGCACTCAGCCAAAATTAGCGCCATCGTCGGTACGTAAGCTTGCAGCCGTGCCTTGTATTTTACTAAACGTGAGAAATGGTAACATAATGTGTTATTGGGTATATATATAGTTCTCATCATCAGCCTATTAATGCCCCCACTGCTGGGGCACAGGCCTTCCCTATGGATGGAATAGGGAGATGGGGCCCAGTGCAGTTTGGCGGGTGCTAACGACTGCAGATGCAGCCGGGACCAACGGCTTAACGTGCCTTCCTAAGCACGGAGGGACTCGACATAGATAATTTTTGGTCACCCATCCGATGACCGACCACTGCGAAAGTTGCTTAACTTCGACGACCGCAGCCGAAGGCGTTAACCACCCGCGCCATCGAGCTCCTCTAGTTCTCATATAATTCTCGCAATGCACAAACTCCTAAAGGAATTAGCAAACATTTTGTCAGGCCTTTGCCTGCAATAGTTTCCAAGAGCAATCTTAACTGTCCAAGTAGTGAAATCTATTGTAACGTTTCACTCCAAGATATTATTTTTATATTGAAATATAAACTGTTCAGTGTGCACATCGATACTATCTACACTATAATCAACATGGCTCCATAAAGTTATCCAATAAATAACACCGCCAATTCAGACTCCACAACTAATTTTACACGTGGATACGTTTAATCAACGTGAAACTGTGATATAGTGAGATGAAGATAAAAAAGTAACAGACATTACAAACACTAAACTCGACTGTCACATCCTTTGCAGGGTGATAGTGCATTTGTAGGACACTATGAAATGTGTGCTAGTGACGTGCTTTTGAACACGAAAATGGGCCTGATATGGCTTTAGTATATCCTTATCTCCCTATTTCATCCATAGGGAAGGCCTGTGGCTCAGCAATAGGGATATTAATAGGCTGATGATAATGTCCTTATCATGCTCTATAGAGAATGATCCCATTGCCTCTGTTTTTTTTTAGTTAAATGTACATTCATTGAGAAATCTGTGCTTTCACACAAGATGAATGTAGCCGTCGCGTGAAATCGCTGCTGGTTACATTATAAATGCACACGTACCTCGTTATTTTTAAATATTTTAGTATCGCGTATTTATCTTTAAGATTAATTACATCTTACCGGTCCTACATCTGGAATAGCTGGATTGGCCTCATGGTTATTAAAATAATTATTGATGTTTTTGCCTCTACTTTCCAGTGAAAAAGTAGAAGAAGTGGAAACACCTTGCAATTCTACAGACCTACCGTAGCGAACCGACCACACCCCTGCGTTTGTTTAATATTAGTGTCGAATCAGGGGTGCGAGGTGACGACACGGAACTAAACAATATTGGACTATTAAAAATGATCACCAGGGGCAAAATAATCAGGGTTTGCTGCCCCTGAAAATGTCAGACGTACCAAATTACTAACGTCAATCCAATTAAGATAGGGATATTTTTAAATCCACATAAATTTTACCGAGCACTGTTCTTCTAATTAATCTATTTTTAATAACATTATAATATGAATCACTTAACAGTAGCTATTTTTGCGTTGTATAAGCGATTTTATATAAAGCAATTTCTGTAAAAGTCAATCCTTAATATTTTGTATTAATAACTTAACGAAATTTTAATACTGATGGGGCAGTGGCGCTTCTGTCCGTTTTATGACTTTTTTAAATCTTTATCAGGCAAGACGACGTATGTCAGCTCCGCTAGTTATAGTAAAATATCTAGAATGTCTTTAACTATGTTATTTTATCAGCTTTACTTCGATTCCTTAAACTAGAGAGATACGTGAATTTCGCAAATAGTTAATTTATTGACAATATCTCGCTCGGTTGAATGTGTACGAGGCGTAAACAAATCACATTTCACCGCTTCTCAAAACCTGCTGACAACGTACATTTTGCAGACACCTCACACAGCAGTTTGGCACTTCTAAAATATTCTGACTGGAGTTAAACGACTCGAATTTTATTCTTAGTATTATTATTGGTATTGGGCGGATCTTAAGTTCTGTCCTTCCTGCGACGTGTTGTCATAATTATGCTTTTGATAGCACAATTAAAGTATCAACAACGATTAAATTAGCTATACCTTTAAAATCCGTTGTATTATTGTATATAAACAAAAAATTAAAAGTCAAAAACTAATTTATTTAAACGTTATATTAGTCTCGATTCTAACATGATTCTCTAAATAGTTTTACTAAATTTTACATCAATCTCTGCTTCTCATTCTGTGTAGAGAATGACAAGGATACACTGTTGTCAAATTTAAGTTTAGGTTTAGAGATCTTCATGCCATTGATCAATCTATGTTAGTGACAATTTATAAGGTGTTATAAATATGTTAGTCAACGCCAGTCAAACATAATAGATTCGCTCTCAAATTCAGAAGTAGGAAGAGATATAGATAACAACTTAAATTACTATCTAAATTAATAAGTACATATATTATTTTAGTTATTATAAAAAAATCGTGCACCACTCTAAGCACTTTACTTACTGCATTTCAATATTAATCATTTTAAAATTGATCGCAAGTTCGCGAGCGTAGTTCCGCAAATTTCCACGCTTGCCATCTGTCGGCTGATAGCGGCACTAAACATACCAGCTATTGTAATTTAGTAACGGTTCGCACAAGTGCCGGCCGAAACAAAACACACTCCAATTAACCTCGTTATTTTACTGTACAGATTAACGTTCCAGATTATCTTGCGCCTTTATTATCTTTGTCGATACGATGCACCTGCCTTTTAACCGATTTTAAATAACAGTCATTTCCATCCATCATGCCAAGACAATTTCAGCGGCTCGCTCAGAATTTACTACAAAGTTAATATTGATGTTTTTTTGAAATATATTTTTTAATTCACTGTATTGCAAATCGCAAATTTCTTTATGTTTGATGATATAACAACTAAACGAGAGGAAGATTTACAATATATTTTATATTTTATGGTTTATTACCTATAATAAAATAATCAATTCTCTTAAACTCTCAATCATTATTTAGTCCGAAACTAACCGGAGATTGAACTATAATTTTTTTACAACCATGAACTGGGGAAAAAATAGTGTTCATTACACTAATAAACTCCTCTAAAACATTAAGAACCGAAAGGTTGCAGTTGCATCAACACCAGGTACGTGGACTGTATTTTTTCTAATTGGCAATACAGTATTATTATGAGTGTTTTCGTGAATTCTATTTTATTTGATAGAACGCATAATTAAATACAAGACCTGGGAAAAATAAAATATTTCCAAATAGCTACAAAAATATAAAAGCTTACTATGTGAAGTTGACAATAATAACTGTAATCGTCAATGGGAGCAATCGCGTGTTGCCATGACCTACCCCAATCGCTCACAGCGTCACAGCACATCCCACACGCAGCTTTATTACGTCTTACGCACTATGCCCACGCAAATGTAAACATCTCTCGTGCGAGCACGTTATGACCATTAATAAAAACCACCAAGTCCAGTTCTCCGTTGTAAGAAAGACAACAACTTCATCCTCAACCAATTTTTAAAATATCGACAGAAATATACTTATATTTAATAAATACTGTGCAACTTATTAAACGTTTTATTTACAGAATGATATAAGTAAAGTTTGGTTCAAATACTTATGATTTATTATATTCGTATGCAAATTATGGTAATTTAACAGCACAATTAACTGTGTATAATAAGTAACCATATCAATAAGTAACCAGTTCTAAAAGAAACTTCAGGAGAATGGAAGAACTCTAAAAGTTTATTATCATTAATCACATCCAAAAATATATCTTCAGACTTATATACTATCAAAACTAACAATTTGAATAAAAATAGATGAGCTTTAGAATGAGCTGGGTGCAATGTTAAAGCGAGAACGCGATAGAACAAATGTCGTGCGCATTCTAACACAAAAACAGGAGTAACGAACTAAAACGCCAGGTGTGACTCGATGCCATGTGCTCCGTGGCTCGGTAACAGAACTATATTTATTTATTGTTCGTGTAACTCGGAACAATATTTAATATAATTAGTGTGGATGGCTTCGTTAGGCAGTGACATTAAATAATGATGATGTATTTTTTTATGTATAATAGGTATAAATTTAAATTATAATTTTTGCTTAAAGTAGGCAACGGGTAACGACAAAAGATGGATACTTGTGTAGGGTTTTGGAAACTAGGCAATTTTTAATTTCGATTGCGTCGTAAACTATCATCAGATAAAAGTTTTTTCCTTTATTTCCATTCTGTTGAAAGATATCTTCTAATATTTCTTTTCTGTACAAACTAATGTACCACGATAAGTCAGACGTCTAATCCGTACAGCGACATCTACTTAAAATGGCTTATAACGCCACCTAGTGGTGAGTAGCAGCACCTTTTGCAGCACACCGCCGCGCCATGTACTTTAGAAAAGCATCGCTCCATCTGTTTTAGAGTGAATCTGTAAGATGGCGCTGTTATCAGAAAATTAAATAGCTAACTTCAGATATATTTTTATTAACTTTCAACTCATGAAAGCTTTCCATAACTCACGATTGACTAGCTACGACGCGACCGACGGCAACATATAAGTAACTAACTAAATCACTAATCTGTCGCCATCTAACCCTGAATCCATTGCATGTTATTTTCTATTCATTTTTCCTCTTATTTTGTGTTAACATTCCTTTATTTTTGCTTTATGTTAAGTCCGTGGTGTGTCTGTGTTGTTTTAGCTTATATTGGCGCCGGACGGGACCTTGCAGACGGTCAAGAGTGAATCGCGCCGCGGCCGGGGCAGAGGGCGCGCGCCGACTACCCCCGTAAGTAACACCTTTCCTTTCTTTCTTTTCTTTTCTATTCTTTCGTTATGCCCTTTCATTCCTTCATGTTCATGAGCGCGATATCATGTTTGCAGTGACTAATCATAATACGACTAATTTTATTAACATATCCATCATTGTGTATGTTTTTCATTATTAATTCATGCAGGTCATTTATTCAGACTGAAATGGATATATAAAAGAAGTTATTTACCAGAAAACTACCTTTTTTAACTGATATAACCGGCAATCATAAAATGAGAAAATAATAGAATCAGTTGATTGAAAATCAATCTTTGGCTGCCTTATCTCAACACTCAAAATTCGATAAACCGAGATGTAGGTACTTACATCGAATTAATAATTAAGAGGTACCTTATGTAGGTAAGGAAAGATACTTTAGTTATTTAGGTACTGAGTGACTAAAATTTACTACTTATATACATATAAAGTAGGTTAGAAATATCTTTTTTTTTTAGATTCAATTCACCAATAATCGATTCAAGTAAACAATGAAAATCTAAAAACAATTTTTGCCAATTTTGCCAGCATTACAACAACCAACCGTCAGAAGTATGTAGAGCGGAAAAGGTTAAATGTGTAAACTTAAAGTGAATTAGAAACAGAATTCAATGAAGTTAAGATTTTATTCTTTACTCCGCCAAATAGAACTTTAAGTAAAGGAAACTCTGTCAAAATAAAACAAAAAGTTTCCACTTCAGGAAATAGGTGCTGTAACTTGTCCATAGATTTATGTTTGGCTGAAAGAGCGACCGAAACAAAATCTGTTTACTTTCACTATCGCGCTGAAATAGCCGAATGCACAGGATTAAAAGTAACCCCTGCCGGTACACGTTCACGGCCAAATACGTTCACAGTACGTTACAGCAGATACTCCAACAAAATACCTACGTATCCATTCATGTGATTAATAGGCGATGTGACCGTAAGCAGAGCGATCCTAACCTCGAATTCACAATCCATTGAACCTTTAAATTCGTTAAATTCTCACAGCGCCCGCTTGCGACAGATCAATGGTATGCAAGTTCAGGTGTTATACTTGTTTAACGAGAGGGCGCTGTACTGATTTTTCCACTAAAACCATTGGGCGTCATACCTGTATTATACGTCTGTAGTAGAGGTGCCCTATTCATTCAGTAGTCTGTGTGGTATACGTTCGGATTGTAAATTGTAATTACTGAATGGATTGAGCTTTCGCGGATTGAAAACAAAAGTGCGTCGCCGCGCCGCAACTATTTGGGTCGAGGTGGCAGTTGGCATTTGCAGTGTCAATTCACAAGTGAATAATTTACTGTCTGCCTCTTCCAGATTTGCTAACCGTAGTATTTTTTCCTCATACTTCTGTGGCTTTCGACCTCGTAAATCAAAATAAAGGCCAACGGGTCAACTAACCATAGACTTAAGAAATGCTTTCCATTAAAATTTTCTTTAGTTACAAAGAGTGTAGTTAAACGCTTAAAAAAATTATTATAAACACAGACTGGTTTGAATACTTACGATTTATGCTCCGACATGTTGCCGAAAATGAAAATGTCATAAATATATATGACATATATCTTGAGATGCGTGGTGTTGTCGTACCTTGTACGGAACATCAGAAATCTCGTATTTGTACGAGAAATATCTAACAGTTGGCAACAAAACAGGCCCTCTTCTGTGAAGTTAAGAAAAAAGTAGAAGCAACTTTGTGAGATCTTTTTTTATTTTAATAGAGTGGAAATCTAGTAGGTAGGCTCTCGGCTTATATTATGAGAATCTACTATATTAGCCTAGCCTATTATTATAGGCAATTGTGACGCCAAATCTGCGAAGTTGGCTATCCTGACCTTATTAATAAAAGTATATATATAAGTCTATAATCTTTGATTATTATAGAGTACAAGTGCAACAATTGCTCTACAAATGGATCGGCAGTTTCAGAACCAATTTTGAAATATAGCCAGAATAGATATATTCTTCTTATCAAGTGGACTTAAAAATCTTATTTCAAATATAACATGACACTAAAACTTTTTGTTTCCGTGTACGATATTAAACTTCGTATGCCCCTGTAGCATGACCACTGAAACGGGATATGATAAAGCGATATATCGACATTAACTGTCAGACTACTGTCAAACTCCATAGTAGTCTGACAGTTAATGCCGATATATCGCTTTATCATATCCCGTTTCGGTGGTCATGCTAGAGGGGATGAAGTCCAATAAAGCAAAGTGGCTTTTTCCTATAAAAGCATTGAAGATTCAACATCAATACGCGTATCTACTCGTAGCGTAACCAATAACAAACGCTAGTCTCGTTAAAATAACTAGGCAGTTCGACATGAGCGCGAATGAAGGTCCCAAACACACAAAGAAGATTACATGTATCCGTCCATAGTACGAGAACATTCCGCCAGCACGATGTTGACAAAAGTTTTTACAAAGACGTTCGTTTCAACGTTGAGCCAGGAACATTCGAATGCGGCATAGCAGACTAGAAGAAATTGTATAAACTATGGAGATTACAACTCATGTATTTCTGGTGTAGCAAAATATTGGTTACAATTTATTAATTTAAGTGTTGAAAATTTTTGTTAAATCTTGACTGCAAACTGAAACTAGATTCGGACTATAGAACTAACTGAAATAGTAAAGGAAGAATGAAAGGATACTTTTCATTCCGGAAAAATGTAACATCCCTGAGGGATTTTCAAAAAACCATAGTCGCGGACGGCTGCTAGTTTGACAAAGCTGCCGAACACTGAAATGTCATGTGTCATGTCAAAGTGAAACTCATTTGCTACAGCTTTCCTTTGTTGACTTCGGAAACCTAAAAAATAAGAAACAACGAAAACGTGTAGGTGCGGATATCACTCATTGGCTAATATTTAAAATCTACGTCTAATTCATACGTTCTTTTTCTTCTTAGTCGGGCACTCTTGTCAGAGTGGTCGTGGTTGCACTCACGAGGTACATGGTGGGGTGTTCTTTGGGTCGCTATCAATTCCAAGGGTAGGTCTCCTGGCGATGTGCTTCCATTTCTGACGGTTCGAGGCGTCGCGAGTACACTGGACCATGGTGGACTCAGTAGTCTTTGTGATGGCGTCTATCCAGCGGGTTGGTGATCGACCGCGTGCTCTCTTGCCTTCCACCTGGCTTAATTCATACATACCTCCTTGCAAGAGTGATCAAATACTATTTCCAGTGAGTTCAGTTGGCAAGAAAATTCTGACTGCCTTATTAATAAAAAAAATGGGGCGTGTACTTATGTAGGCGCGTGAGAAGTTATCCTTCTTTCGCATCGTTTAAAATTAGTTTTTAATTGCATGCAAATAATTAATTACAATAAATTAATAAAAAGTCTGGAAAAGGACACAGTCAATAAAGTTCAGTTTTAATTTGAAAAAATAAATAAATATTCAAAATATTCAATTAAAATCGCTACTGAATATAATTTATTAGAACATATGTGATTTGCACTTGTATGATATTCCGAATATACAAACTAGAAACATGTGGATAAATATTATAAATATGAATACCTATAACTGTTACTTTATTACAAAAAATAAAGATGTGGTTTTTGGTTCTACTACACCAATGGTCAAGAGATGGCGCTGTAGTCTCCTGAATCGCGCTTTGGTTCCGTTGTTCCAGATTAATAAATACTTTTGATATTATAAATATGAATACCTATAACTGTTACTTTATTACAAAAAATAAAGATGTGGTTTTTGGTTCTACTACACCAATGGTCAAGAGATGGCGCTGTAGCCTCCTGAATCGCGCTTTGGTTCCGTTGTTCCAGATTAATAAATACTTTTGATAGGCCTTCACAATGCAGTCGTTAGCACCCACTAAATAGAGATTCTATTTCTATTTTGTTGGTGGATTTTCTTAATCTGCGGTAAACACAAAAGTAACAGCATGAAGTTGATCTCTGAAGCGACCAACTTCATGCTGTTAAAATTTTGTGTTACAGTGATGCGCGCGCATCTTAAAATTTCACTCTCATCATTTTTTTATAACGCGCCTAAAGAAGTATAACTTCAAAAAAAATGGTTGCCTGTAAAGTCGGTTTTACGGGCGAAGATTTTACGTGACAACGTCTTTTTCTCGGTAGAATATTTATTGATATGAATATAATTAAATTGCACAATAGGAACAAGGAATTGAATGAAAATAAGAATTGCACAAATTTTAACTATAGAAATATATTTTGTTTACTAAAACATTGTACATGTAAACTTAAACTTAACACGAGAGACTCATCGTAACGTTACCGAGCGTTACACTTTTTCATAAGTGACTCCCAGCCGCAACCTAATTTAAGACGTTGTCACGTCAAAAAGTTTGGACTACTTACTCAGTGTTTTTTCGGCTTTCTTTTTTTATTTATTCAAACTTTCCACACAAGTTACATTTAAAATTGAATGAGCAGAAACAAACCACTGCGTAGGAATTGGATTATAGAGGGATTTACAGAAGTTTATCCATTTTTCTATTTGGTTTGTACTTCATGTGTAATATGTTAAACGAGATTTGAACTCCATCCGATAGTCCGTCCGTCCGTAGTGTCGGAAAATAATTCTCTTAGTCCTGGGGGCCTGCTTGCGCTTCAGCAAACGAAGTTCTGTTAATTTGGAAATGTTCTTGCAAACTTTATTGCAGTTTTTGCCCGAAGACCTTTATGTATAGAACCGCGGGATAAACAGGCGTTCTACATTTGAACTTTGGAGAAAAATACTTTATTAATAAAAGTGCTTAAGGATAAAACCTTATTACAATTTCAAACATTTTTTTAAATGAAATATGAGTAAGTAAAGCCGTTATTTTTTTTTTAAACTTTATAGCCTTTTATCTTTTTTTTTATTTACCTTGATTTTTATTACATTTTGAAGGCAAATTATCTGAATTACAATGTCGTATTTACATTTCGTTGTTTTTTTAAGTAAAACCATTAAAGTACTAAATTCTGTAAAATTCACGCACCGTTTT